ATAAAAAAAATAATAAAAAAAAAAAAGAAAAGGCACAAGTGCTGGTTGCGAACAGCCCGTTCTGACATGCACGGGGTTATATTAACCATACAGTCACACGTCTTTTGCAGCTCGATCCTCTCCCAGAGAAGGTTTTACAGCAGAGACCCAATGCCAATGCTGTCCGATCCATGGAGAAGGTCATTGAGATTCACAGTAAGTTGTCTGGGCCAGGTCTCCAGCTGGGAAATGTTCCTGTGGGAGGGAGAATACAGTACTCCCGGCCCCGAGTCCCCGCCCTGGGCTCCTCATGTCACTGCCGGCTGCTTCCTGGGCCTACAGACAGGCCTGGCTTTCAGCCAGATTAGATGAGCTGCTGGAGACTCTTGTTGAACCCCCATGTGCTCACCGCAACCCACTACAATGTCTCAGCTCATGTCACGGAAGTGCCTGACTCCAGGAGCTGTGAAGTCACTTGCTCCAGGCCCCCAGCTAGCAGGGTGGGGCCAGGGCGTGAACTGTGTCCTCAGGTCTGGTCTCTTCCCTGGCCAGAGAACCCCACCCCTCCTGCAGACTCCGTGGGGGGTGCAGGGCACCCCTGCAAACTCTGGAGAGTGCAGGGCCCCCTATTTCCTAACACTTCCCCTCCAACATCAGGCCCTGGGGACCCAGGGAGCTGGCACACAGCCAGGTGACTCATGCCAGCACACCTGTCTCAGGTGAGCTGGCAGTGCCCTCTCCTTGTCGCAAAGCTCGGTTTATCCTGGGTCCTTGGGATGGCCCAAACTGTGGAGACTGTCCGTCTAGGTGGGTGGGAACCAGGGGTCTCACCTGTGTGTCCTGCACGGGTGTTGGGTCCCTCCTAGCCTTGGAGCTGAGCTATCCCCCTGCCCTGATGAGAACCCCTGGGTGCCAGAAAACACTGAGAGGCTGGGTCTGGGCCAGGCCCAGCCCTCCCTGCAGGGTCCCCTTACTCTGAGCCTCATAGGGACACCCCCATGGTCTTGGAAGGTCCAGTTGGGAACCCCCTCCACACTGGGTGGCAGTCTTCCCATGCCCCCGCCTGCTAGAGTCAGGGATAGGGTCATGGAGAGCCTGCTGGGCCCAGACCCGTGGCGTCTGTAACCTAGCGCTTCCCTCACCCAGGCCAGTACTGGCGCTCCCTGCAGCGCCTCCCCTCCACCGTGGCCTACTCCCTGGTCGAGGCCCAGAAGCGCGAGAATGAAGAAGCCGAGACAGTCACCGCCATGGCCTCCCTGTCCGTAGGTGTGAAGCCTGCAGAGAAGAGGTGAGCCCTGCAGGGCCTGGCCTGCGGCACTGCATGGAAGGGACACGTTCTGAAGGAGCTAGGAGTCTCAGCTCCTGCATCTGAGGCCCGAGGCTTCTCCACATGGGTCCTCAAGGGCATGGGGCGCAGGTGTCCCCATCCAACATGTCTTTCCAGTGTAGGGGGGAGCATTTATCCCTGAGCAGGTGGCCCAGTAACACCTGGTCAGGAGCCGGGAATTGAAGGTGGGAGGTGGGTGGGGAAGCAGGGGAGCAGTCCTGTTGGAGGAAGAGGGGCGGAGGACAGGCAGAGAAGGCCCTGCAGTGCTGCCTCTAACCCTCCGTCTGTCCTTTCTCTTCTCTGCTGTGTGCCTTTTTGTCCTCCCCCTGGGGCACTGCCACAGGCCTGAGGAGGAGCCCATGGAAGAGGAGCCGCCCCTGTAACCGTGCCCACGGCTGCGACTCTTGTTTGTCTGTCTGTCTTGAAGCTCCGCCAAGAAAAGTTGCTGTTTCTCTGCATCCTGCCAGGCGTTCTCTCAGAATCCGCAGGCACACCAGGGGCCCAGACCCCAGGTCTCACCGGGCAGGGCAGCCTTACACAGAACCCGGGACAGACGCCGGGAAGAGCAGACACCGACATGCAGGGCACCAGGCTCGCCCTCGGCCCCCCTGAGGGATGCCGAAGAGGGAGGAAGCCTGCGGCAACTCGTGGCAGAGTTGCCCGATTCAGTTGACACGAGGAAAAGAACATGAAAATCAAAGATCTAACAATACAAAACAAACTTGATCAAAACTGGTGCTTAAAGTTTGATGATTACCCACAATTCCACAGTCTGTGTAAACCACTCATCTTGTAGCTTTCTTTTTAAAGAGAACGTTTTCTATCGCTCTGGCCTGCCTCTGTGAACCAGAGCGGTGTGCGGTGGGGTTTGCAGCCGGGTGGGGGACAGAGTGGATGAGCATTTAAGAAAAAAAAAGTGGACAAAAATGGAAATGTGAGCCTGCAGGAGCCGGCTCTGCTTTCTCAAAGCCATCGGAAGATGCAAGTTTGTGCCTTTTTTTTATTGCTCTGATGGATTTTTGTGGCTGGGTATTCTGAAGTCTGAGGAACAATGCCTTAAGAAAAAAATAAACAGCGGGAATTGATGGGATAGACCTGTGGCTGGTGGGGCTAGCAGTGCCCGTGGGGCAGGAGGCTGCCCCGTGCTGACCAGGGCTTTGAGAGCAGGCGCAGGCCGCAGCCAGCGGCTCCAGAGGGCTGCCAACCTGCTGCCCTCATTTTGCTTTATTGCTGTGTAAGAAAAATGGAGGTAGTTCCCAAAAAGTGGCAAATACTGTTGGGATTTTTGAAGTCCAACAAATTTTAAATGAATCCAAAGTGTTCTTTTCTCATACATCATATAACAATTGAGCATCTCCATTGGTTGTGAAGCATGTCCTAGGCACACCTTCAGTGTTACGGTTGGAATGCTTTTTATTAAAAGCAAGTAGCATGAAGTATTGCTTAAATTTTAGGTATAAATAAATATATATATGTATAATATATATTCCACTGTATTCCAAGCTAAGATACTTGATTCTTATGAAATCTTGATAAAATATTTATAATGCATTTATAGGAGAAATATATATATATATGTATATGTATATGTATATATATATATATAAAATGCAGGTTGTCAAGGCCCCTGGGAACGAACGACTTGTGAATTAGCTACCAAGGTGCTTACGGAAAGGGATCTAGTTTGAACTCATGTAGTTTGAAGTCAGATTGGATCGATTTCAGATCGCCAGCACATTCGCCACTGGCAACTACCACACGTTTGTATTTCATTTTAATTATTTTCTAACAGACCCCTCCCGTTCCACACCTCCACCCACATATGTACCTAATGAGTTTTTATAGCAAGGAATATAAATTTGCTGTTGATTTTTGTATGAATTTTTCACAAAAAGATCCTGAATAAGCATTGTTTTGTGAATTTCACATTTTTTTCTCACCATTTAGCAGTTTTCTAAATGGTAATAATGTCTAAACCTTTTTCCTTTCTAAATTCTTCTTGTACATTTTTTTAACTTTCAACGTGTTTTTTATTGTTTTCACTTTTGTTTGTATGGTGAGCAGTTTTCTGTGCACGGAACTGCTGCCATTGGTTTTTTCTGTCGGGGGCGGCGGGCTCCTCCTGCCTCGCCAGTAGTATTACCGGGTGGTGTGTTTCCCTCCGTGGCAGGTGTGGAGAGGGCCACTCGTGACACTGAACGGTGACTTGCCAGACACCGCAGGCCGTCAGCTTCCTGAAACTCTCATTTAAACTTCTCTGACCACATCGTCAGACTAGCTTCAGTTTTCCAAAGACCTTTTAAGCATGTCAGCAATGCATGGCCCGGCACCAGCCCAGGTGTTTCCGCTGCAGCCACATGGCCTGGCCCTTGCTGCCTGGTGAGCTGTGGGGACACCAGACTCCTGAGCAGCACAGCCGGCCCTTGCTCCTTTTCTCTCTGACAGAAGCGGAACGTCACTTTTTACTGGTAACTTATTTTTAGAACTTGAAGCCACCGCTTTCATTCCCAAGTGTGTATTGAGTTCAGACTCGTGGGGGAAAGTGCAGACACAGCGTGCCCACAGGAGGGAACCCCAGCCAAATCTCTGAGTTTGGGGACATTTACAGGGTAGCTTCTGAGAGAGCCACTGACACAGCCGGGTGTTGACCAAAGGAATCCAGATTCTTGGATTGGCTTGGTCATGGGGATGCTGTTGGTCAGAAATAGGACAGTGGGTTGAGGCAGGACAGGAAGGTCTTGGGGTACGTTTGACGCTTCTCCCTGCTGGCCACTCTGCCCTGCGGCCCACTTGGCAGGAGGAGCTCAGGTGGGATCAGTGCCCTCCTTCCCGGCGTGGCGCAGAGCGGTGCAGGGCCCCGCGGTGGCTCTCGGCCTTCTCGGCTCCCTTCTCAAGATCCTCCGGGGACCCTGCTGCCTGCTTTGCCAGCCCTGGCTCTCGGAAGGAATGCATCATCTGACCTTTTTACAGATGATCAGACGGCCCGGACCTCTTGGTGGCCACATTCTCCTTGGGGGTTCACTTCCGCGCACAGAGGCACCCCTGCAGATAGGCCCGGCAGGGAGCCTGTTTCGCTTGTCAGCTCACTCCAGCTTCACAGACGTGCAGAAAGCAGAGCCATGTAGCCTTTCTTTTCTGTGAAGACACTCAGCCCCTCTCCGCGGCCACCGTCCAGGGCAGATGGCGGAGGGCCTGCCAAGTGTGGGCAGGACCCTGTGCGAAGGAGGGCCCCTCAGCCCTCCCTCTTTGGTCCTTGGACCTTAGCCTTTTCTTCCTTTGCAAAGTCCTTGAGGCACAGGCCGGGGGTCAGCAAGTGAGCACTTTATAGCCCTTCACTGGAAACTGCTGCCGCAGGGCCCGGTGTCACCCAGCCCTTTCAGTTTTCCGGCCACGACGCGTCTGAGCCCCACCAGCGGGCGGCCATCCGGGACTGCACCCGGCTTCCAAAGGGCCTCTTTGTCAAGGTGTTTCAGTTTTTCTTTCTTTTAAAAGTCTGTTTCCAGAGGAAGGACCCTTTGTGTCGGTCTGACACTGTGAGCCTGGGTGGCCAGCCTCCGAGTCGGTTGTTTTCAATTTCCCATCGGAACATTCCTCCTTTCCTGGTCACAGCCATGTGCTCATTCCATTCTTTTTGTAGACTTTTGGGCCCACGTGTTTTATGGGCATTGATACATATATAAATATATATATAAATATATATGAGTCTATTTTTTTAAGTTTCCTACACCCAGAGGTTGCATGACTGTACGGCCGGCATGTCTTTATATTGTACACAGATTTGCACGCCGAACTCGGCAGCTTGGGGGAGAAGAAAAATGCCTTTGTGTTCCCCTCTCGTGACATTTGCTGACTCAGAAGATGGAGATTTTTCTGTAACGTAACAAACCCTTGGAGGAGAGAGGGGAACGTTTGCGTCTTATTGAACTTATTCTTAAGAAATTGTACTTTTTATTGTAAGAGAAATAAAAAGGACTACTTAAACATTTGTCATATTAAGAAACAAAGTTTATCTAACACTTGTGACATACCAGTAATAGAGTTTATTGTATTTATGTGGGAACAGTGTTCTAGGGAAACTACGCAGAGTTCAAGTGAACTGCCTGTCTCTTCATTTGATTTGGAGGAGTTTTGTTTTGTTTTGTTTCCTTTGTTTCCTTTATCTTCTCGGGCGGCGGGGTGAGGTGAGCACTGCCCCCCTGGCCCCATGGCCGTTGGCGCCGATGGAGGACCGGTGGGCCGGAGCGCCCTTTCCGCACAGCGCGTTGGCTTTTTATTCCTTTAGATGGTGTATGGCTGATTTCACTTTACGCCGTCGTGAGCGGTGCGAGCACTGTGGTTTCAGGCTCTGCTTTGTACCGACAGGAACCCATTTCTTCCTTGTAACGAAGCCGAGCTGGTTCCTCGCTCAGCTCGCTTTGTCTCTGACATGATTAAACGTCTCCTATGGAAAGAAACAAAAGTGACGCCTCTGTTTGTTTCTTGGTGTGTGTGCTCCATGCTGGAGGCTCTTTTCCCATTTCTGAGAATGACACACATAAAATACACACATAAGCGGGGCTGACCCTGTTCACCGAGAGCTCAGCACAGGCCCGGTGGTCCGCGCCACCGCCTCCACCTGACGCCTGTGCCTGCTGGGAGCGGCCGCCTGCTTCCTCTGTAACTTCAACAGTTGTCCGGTTGTCTGGACCTCCCAGGGGGTCTTTCCTTCGCTCAGTGGGGTCGGAAGTGTTCTCATTTTGTTCTGTTGGGTGGATCTGCATCTGCTGACAATGTCCTGAAGGCCGACCCCACCTCCACTTCCCCTGGTGCCCAGTTCTTGTACCTCGTCATACAACTTGTTACTCTTGTGGTGTCAATAAAGCCCGTGCATTGCCCTCTCACCTCTGGTTTCTGCCTGTGTGCTCTTGTCCTTGCTGGCTCGTGGGCCAGGGCCCGCGGGGCTGGCCCGCCTGCACTCAGCCTGGGATGGGGAGTACCTGTAGTCCTCGCAGCGTTCTCTCTCCAAACTTTGGGGAGGTGAGCTGGACATAATCTCAGGAAGACAAGGCCGAAGAGCCTAGGCTCGGCCCCTTCCCCCAGTGGGCACATGCCCTCCGCCTCCCCCCATCCCCACAATCTGCAGACTCCCAACCACAACCTCTGCCGAGCAACACACTGCCACCCCCAGAGCATGCCACCATCCTTGGCTGCCGAGCCCTGGGACTACCTATTGGGGTGACAGATGGGTAAAGGCGGCCTCCTGGGCTGCCGCATGTGGTTCTAGCCCACTCCTGAGGCCTGTCCAAGGTGCTGCCGCCCACTGCACAGCCACTGTCCCTCTCCCAAGTCCGGTTCTTACCTCCTTTCACAACTGCCACCCAAGGTACTCGAACATTCTGCATAAATACCCCCCTCAAGTTTGCTTCCTGGGACCCCACCTTGAATGGGCCACAGAATGGGGTATGTGGAGCAATGCCACCCAAGCTGATAGCAAGACACAGGCACAGCTGCCAAGCCGCAGCCTGGAGAACAGGAGTGCTTGGAGTCGGACACGGGGCTGGGGGCCTGGAGCTGGGGAGCTGGGGCCTGGGGGTGGTTATGTGTCCTCCTTGCCAAACGGGATGGCAGCTGTTGAGAGGCTACAATATACCCAGGGCCTCTTCAGGCTTAAGGTGGATATTTATGAGAATATAGTTATCAATTTACCCCAAACAAGAGGATCTTATTCTTACAGTTCTCATTTCTGAAACCGACTACAAGTATTTCCAGCTCTCGGGCCAGGAGGCTCCTGAGGCTGCTTCAGGTTAATTAGAATTGAAGTTTATGTGACACATTTTTGGGGTCATTTTATCTCAAAGTGACTTTTTAATGTATATTACAAAGCGTTGATACTTTCCTACCTTTAGAGAGTATGAAATACTACAACCACACTGCGGAGAGAACTCCCCCCGCCTCTGGGAGGAACCTGCCCGAAAGTGGTATGTGCACCTCTTGTCCGTGTTTCTGCATTTGTGCCACTGCTTCTATAAAAGTAAATCTTGGCCCAGCCGGTGTGGCCCAGTGGTAGAGGGTCGACGTATGAGCCAAGAAGTCACTGTTCGGTTTCTGGTCAGGGCACATGCCCGAATTGTGGGCTCCATCCCCAGTGCAGGAGGCAGCCGATCAATGGTTCTCTTTCATCACTGATGTTTCTCTCCCTCTCCCTTCCTCTCTCAAACCAATAAATACATATATTTTATTATTTTTTTAATACATATATTTTAAAGCAAATCGTGGTGTTTCTAACGTATATATTTATAGTACATGGCGATGTACTGTAAGTAACGTTTTGCTCTCACCGTCTTCTCTGAAGCATGTCACTGAGATCCGTCCACATGGATGGCCACCCACTGGGTTATTCATTGGACGTGCTGTGTGCCGTGTCGTTGCTGACTGTGCACAGCCTACACCCATCCCTCTGGATAGATGTGCAAGCTGTTGCCCATTTTTCTTCCCTGGTAGCACTGAAGCGAGCACCCGTGTGTCCTTGAGCCCGTGGCAGGGTCCGTGCAGAGTTGCTGGTCAGCTGGTGTCAGCGCTGTGAGAACAGTTACTCCCCGCGTCTGCGTTTCCACGCGCAGGGCACTGACTGGGTAAGGCGTTTCCCACAGCAGCAGCAGCACTTGCTGCCCTGCTTTTTCATGGCAGCCTCCCTGATGAGTGGGGTATCCTGTTTCCACTTGCATGCTCACTGCTTACAGGGTGTCACCTCTATTGCTGTGTACAGGCGACCCCTCACTTCATAGCTTTGCAGACGTTTCCATGGTAGATGCCTGTGGCTCAGGGTCTGTCTCAGGTTCCAGCACTTCTGAGGACACACCCTGCTGTGGGAGCCCTTCCCCTTGCTTCCCTCTCACTGTGGACTGCTCTGAAGGCCCCTCCACAGACACACACACACACACACACACACACACACACTGGGCAGCTGGCACCCCCAAGCAAGTCATGCAGGGACACCTAAGAGCACCCCAAGTCACAGAGCCACGGTCCT